TCCAATTCCTATCCTCCTTACACATTCTCTCTTACCTTGTATGCAATATGAGTTTGGCGGCGATTAGTGAAGTTCTCTTCACTGTATTACGCTGTACAATGATGATGATAGTGATGATGATTTCTTACTCAATATTTACCGTGTCAGATTTGGATCAATTCAAAGGCCGAACAAATACGTCGTGTGTGTGTGTGTGTGAAACGGTTCACACTATCCTATACTGGCAGGTGTAGTTGATTAACTACTTACGTGGTTTGCCATGTGGTCTGTTTTCTTCCATGCGTGAATTTAATCCTTTAGTGATTGAATAGACAGCAACAACTTTGATGATACTTTTGTTTCGAAGTTGCATGGAATTTGTGAGATTCTTTTATTAGTTCAACGTCACAAACGAGACAGCAGCCCTTCATGTTCTCACGATGATCGTTTGGGTTGCTGACTGTGTTTGTTAGCCCTCGTCTGAATGCAATGTAGACTCCTGGATTGGTCTGCAGGAAGAATGCGCAATCCATCACAACGGCTTAATGCTTCTTTTATGCTATTTCCTTTGAGAATCACTAATTTCTCATTGCGATGGAATTGATGACAGCAGTTGCCCGTAAATGCAAGTGGATGCATTTTAAACCAAAAAGTGAATATTTTTCTGCTTAAAGTTAGTATTGAAGGGGTACCCTAATGGCTTACTTCGTGCAGCCATGTGTGCCCTTTGTTCATACACTCGATGTACGCTTATCTTTTTCATTTTAAGGACAATGTTTCCGGAGCATTTTAGAGAGGAGATCCAATCTCTCATTGCCAAGCAAATATCATTGAAGGATTTTCCTCGAACACTACTCATTTGCTCACTGAACTTTTAGAACACGGTTCTTTTCGGGAAACCATGTTTATATAACGGGTTAGATTTTACAATCCGGTTCGTACGCAAGCAAATAAAGATCCTATTCAACAAAATCAGCCAATGGACAAGGGAGTGCAAACACACCACAGTTAAATCACCCAGTTTTTTGATTTTATGAGATGAATTGTCTTTTTTTAAGAACCGATAAGATCTTTTCCAATTGGGTATAGAAACAGTTAACCTAAGTAGAACGCATTCGTTCACTGATTCAACTCAATCTAAACTGAGTCAATTCATGCCTTTAGGATTGACATAGGCCATTTTACACAATGAGTGGTGTCGGAGAGTGAAAAATAGCTTACACAGTAAGATGGATTTTTACGCATCTACGTCTGGTCCTAGGCGGACGTATACAACCAATTTGGGCGTCTTGTACCATTCAATCCATGGAGTAGATCATCTGCATCCGAAGTGAAATGAGCGAAGGAATCAAGATGTTCATTCGTCGCATCCAAACGTCCCACGCTGACGCATTGGCGTGCATGTTCCTCGGTACTTTCCAAGTCCATACTCTCTGACGGACGACAACGGGACGCACTGCTTGTAGTGGCGGCCACACTGGATGAACAAGTTTGTCGAGTATTTTTGCATTGGAACAAAAGCTTCAGTGAAGAACATTGTATGCGATAGTGATCGTGAATCGTGTCCAGGATTGAAAAGAGAGAGTGCATGGGGAAAATTTCTCAAGTTATGTGCTGTGATTACGCCGGTTGCAGTGGCAAAACAGTGGTGAGGATGTGAGAAATGTGCACATTATTGATCTATCTACTAACCTTTTCGGGAACAGACTAGAAAACGGACAAATTTATTGAACGAAACTTTCGAGATATTGCCCGAACAAATTCTCGTTTACTAACCCAGAAGCGATGCTCGAAGTAACTTCGTTTTTTAAGCCCCATTGATATATACTTGTGTCGGATGGGAGAACGACACGTGCGAATAAAAAAATGACTCAGTCGAACATGAAGTAAAAACTTATGGAAATATGTCACAGCATTGATAATTGATATCTATGATAAGTGTACTTAAAAAATCAGTGTTTTTGGCAAAAACTACATTCTATTTTATCATTTGCTTTTACATTTTCAATTAGTAAAGTCATCAATTTTCACTGCGATTTTTCTGTTTTTCAATTATCTGTACACTGCTCTAGTCAATTGAGTAATATGCCCTATCCCTACTGGGTCTGAAAAGATGTAAATTATACATAGGCCCAGTTAAGACCACCAAGGGTAAAATATGAAAATTGCTAGGAAGGTCAGTTTCATTATGTTCTCTTGGGAGATTCCATGTGCAGGGTTCGTTTCACTTAGGCCCACAGTTGGAACTGGTTGTCATTTGTGAAGGTGGGGAGAGCATAGTTAGGGGAAATCTTTTGCGTATCTACACCTACAGAACACACTACGATAGCACCGTTGATAGATGAGCTGTGCGAAAATCAAATACCGTCTGTGACGAACGTGTGTTGGTGATTCTGGCCTACCATTTTCAGAACTCGTTTAGTGGACTGCGAGGCGAGAAAGATCGCTTGTCCTCATCCAAAAGATGAATCGAATTAATGAGTAATGAAATAGGCTTGATTGCGTTCGTGAGAAAAAAATATCCGTTGATGGGTTTGTAATTGATGGTATCTTAATAGGGAGTCTCAAAATAAAACAAAGCCTTCACATTCATATACAAGAGAATTAAAAAAAAACAATTTATCAAAGTAACAGTTTGGCAAAACACTCTAAAACCGTGAGTCAGTCCTATTGCAGATAGCATAAAATTTGAGGGTGACTAGTTTCAATGGACAGACAACTTTTGTGGATACACTGGGTAATTTAGGAACGTACGCCATAATAATTTTGTTGCATCGTTTTGTCGGCATCTGGGCTTTTGACATCCGCTCCGGTCACTTCCCACGGTTGTTTCGGTTCAATTATTGCAGTGTCAGCAATCGGTTGTGGAATACGATAGCCATCCGCTGTCGCTTGTTGCGCAACCTGGGCCAATTTGCGCCGCACTTGGGTCACACCATCTTTCTGTTGCACGGACATATCTAGACCCAGCGTTAGGTCCGGTTGCACGCATGTTTTCACAGGATGGGGGACTGTCTCTTTTAGTGAAACATCTGCCAAATTAACAAGAACAAGCGCTGATAAGTTTACAATAAGAGGTATTCAATTGATTTTCTGTAAAATCTCGTTGACAGGTAATACAAGGTAGAAAAATAAACTTGGTTCAACGTGAAATAAACCATGTGAAGTTCTAGTCCTATGATTTTTGGTTCGACTGCACTTGGAACGGAATCATGGCAAGTTTTCAGGAACTTCTGCTATCCGTTTGATAAATTTGAGGTAGCCAAGTTGTTATGAAATAAAAACTGAATGGTGAGACAGACGCATTTTCTATGCAGATTTTGTTTCGAAAAACAAGAACCAATTAATCCTATGAACAAGCAACTTCCTATGCGAAAAAATAAAGGTCTGCAAAGCACCCAAATTATCTATGGTTGTGGTCGTTGTTTTCCCAACCCATTGTTAATACGGAACACGAAATGATGTAACATCAGTATATATCATCAAAAAGGTTTTCGGCACAGCCTCACGCTTAATTAAGTCGGTATCAGGATTTCTTGTAGTCGTTTCTCGCTCCTCTCTTACAGAGGTATGTGAGGATAGCTTTTTGAACCATTTGTATGGCCTAGTTGTAGATATCTGATCGATTTGGTTAAGGCTTTGCATATTGCTTTCTCATTCACTGATTTCAGCAGAAATACCCTCGCAATAAGAAAGATCACAAACAGATGGATACTTCGTAAAACGAGATGCAAGTGCAAATTGTAAAGAGGCAATAAATGTAGCTAGCATCCAGTAGCAAGATGGTGGATGAAATAAGAAGTTAACTGTGTTACATGGCCGGAACTTAAAGAAAATATTGTTTCATTTGGGAAAGTTACGCGCTAACAGGTGGATGGAATTTATCATTTGAGAAACCATGCTCGATGTGGTTGGTGAATTTAGGATAAAATAATCTCTATACAAAAGCTTGTTTAGTATTTGTACATTTGTATATTCAATAAATAAGTAAAAAGAAAAATGGATGCTAATGATACCACTGTCAAATCGTGAAATGTCGTGCAACTACGAAAAGTCTAGATCTGTGCTAGATATCAAACATAAATCACGATCATTAACGGTCTCGCAAAGCACAGCCTTTTTGATAATATGACCAGGATTCAAAGTGCGTTAGGTGTATCGAATTATGTGGTAAGTGCAAAATCATATTTATGGAACGAGTAAAATACCCGGTGGGTGAAGTGTTCATACAAAGAGATATTTTCAAATCATACCTGAAAGAAGCATACCTTGTGCGTTCCGGGTAAGACACGGTTGCAGTGGATTATGTGCAACCTGTTGGTGATTTACATGTACCGATTGGTTTGTGTCGCACGGAACCGCGCTTGTCGGATCCAGTACCGTGGTCGGAAGTGTACGGCATACACAGTTGCTCGCCTGTGTCGGTCCGGGGATCACCGTAGGCACGGAGATTTGTGTAGGAGTGACGCGGATCACTTGGGACGCCAAAGCAGCAGGCCCCACCGTATTGGTCATCGTTAGTGTTGGCATCGCCGAGGCATGCGCGGCTGTGGCTGTCATTCCTGTCAAATCTCCCGGATTTTCTCCAACACCGGGCGGTTTCATTGATCCCACAGGGATGTGGGTTGGTCTTTTTTGGCTGTTACACCAAGTTGAAACGGCAAAGTCTACTGTGTCACGTTTCGGAGCAAAAGTTTGTGCAAACAAGCCGGATGGATGCATGGTATCTCTGGGCATGAAAGCTGTTTTCCTGTAAGCCATTTCGGAATAACGTTTGGCCCAACAAGCACAACAGTAGGGCAGTTCAGAGCCCTCTGTCGGACCACCACTGCCACTGCCTGTGTACGGATAAGTGCCGGTAGTGTTTGAGCTGCCATTGGGGAGGGAACCTTCTTTCCAAGGTACACGCACTAGACGCGGATAGGCGGAATTGATAGCCGTGGTACCACAGCAACCAACGGGCAACGTTGTCCATTCAATCGAATTACACATTCCATTGGATGAAGCCATTCGCGTATAGCGTTGACAGGCACAGTACATGGAATTGTGCATTGATGAAAGGCAGCTATTTCATTGTCCGAGAAAAAAATGTAAAAGAAGAGAGATAAATAATTGCCTATAGTGATATATTATGCAAATCATACATCGAATACTTGTTTCTCTTGTATGAGATTGAATGCATTGAAAAATGACTTATGAATTATATTCCGACGACCACGGTTAATAACTCAGACTTTTTGAAGAGTGATCGTTGTCTATGAATCCTTGGGCTAGTCATCACACTACCCAATTAATGGATGTAGTTTGACCGTTATGCAGCCAAACTTGTGCGACCGATTTAATCTATTTCATAGGAACAATTACGGGAATAAATGCAGTATGAGGCTTCCGAAGTAGACGAACCGTTTCCAAGTGGATAGCACAGTTGATTTTAAATCTAAAGCAATACATCATTTTACTGCATGAAAATTAATATATGTCATAGATGTTGAGACCGATGCCATAGCCTTTTAAACTTCGAAAGGGAGAGTTATATGTCGCGGTCTATTTTACGCAGTGCTATGGTACTCCTTGAATAAGAGGTGGAATTTGTCACAGACAAACAGAGCAATAAAGAATTCAAAAAGTTCATACTACAGTTCGAGTGACGAGGTGTTAGTGATCACTGGCATCATGGTTTACGTGTTCACAGATATGGGAAAATTACAATGTAACGGTTCAGAAAATTCTTTTTCCAACTTCAGTTACCATTGTTCTTTCATTGGCTTCCAACCAGTGTTAAAACTTTTGTTCCAGCATACTTTAACTTTGAATGAAATAAATTTATCTGTCAATTTCTATCTTTCATTTTGGGAACTTACCGGAAACAACACTCTCAATCAGAGTAGCATACTAAGTGTGTGGATGTAAGACATTTTACCCTTTAGTGTACCTTCCATTCAAGTTGGAATAGCTTATGTTGGCTCCAAAAACGACTAATTCTGAGCAGTTCAACATGCAGACAAATAGAGTAGAAGTGTTGAAGAGAATTATCTAATATCTTACAGATTATAACGCGTATCTTCACTCGCCTAAAGTGGTGTTTTCGCATACATTCAATTGAGGAAATATTCCCATCAAATCATAATCACTTCCAGCGGATCATGCATTTTTTTGATGTATTTCACGTTCTCGATCATAAAGGCGTTGGAGGACAGCATATGAACGATCCTTACTTGGTGGTTCCATTTAGTTTAGGTATGAGTTTGCTGATACTGTGGCAAAACACATCTTTCTTATGAGGGGTCCAGAGTTAAATGCCTGGATAGGCCGATGCATATGGATCCCCGATGAAATCCGAGAAAAGAGAGAAACTCAGCTTCGTGCTTCCCTAATATATCATCAGTAGGATTAACTAAGGATCATATGTGAAGATGTGGTCTGATGGACATAAGTTGACATCAATGATGTTGCTCAGTAGTAGTATGTTTTTAAGATTTTGTCTATAGACTTCAAATTAAACGTGTACCTTGAGCTACGTTTAGCAACCACACGTACTCAGCATTATTGCTGTATCAAACTGCTTCAATCCGACCGTAATAACAGTCCGGGTGAATGGACGAATTCCAGCGCAAAAGGTCTAAGTATGTCCAGAAGCATTCATCTACCATAAACAGGATTTATACTACTTTTTCACAACGCTTCAGAATCTATTGAACAAACGTTTTCTAAGTCCAACTGCCAGATTTACTCAATAAAAACGCGTTAACTTTTCTTATGCTTCCGTATACGATCATGTGACATATTTTGTCAGAGACTAAGAGACACTTGGAAGTTTCCTCTTACAAGCACAATATAAGCTAACTTCCACGGTTGTGTATACTGTGAAAAAACAATATCTAATCATTAGTGAGTTGCTATTTATTGGTCGATAATAGAGTCTGCTGAAACACTAAACCACGTGAGCTTTGTGCTGTGGCACACCCCTAACTGGTGATAGTGAGCATTCGTCTATAACAGCCTGATAGTTGAAATCTCTCTTTGTGATAGTGAGTCCGGATGTGAGTAGACGATGCGGGATATTAGAAATAAATAAATAAATACGAATAGGAACCGTGAGCCCTAGCGCCCATTGTATAAAAAATCACTCAAAACATAACAATCTTCAAGGTGATTTCATGCATGGATATTTAAACCTCAAGAACGTTTGCCCCACATACTGGACTTCAATTACATTCACCATTTTAAATTTGTAATGATTTTTACACAGTCTCCAGATAAGTAGGTAGCCGAGAGGCGCTCGTTGTACCTCTTTCGGAGCTGATTATGTCTGACAGGACTTAATAATGCGCACGCTTATGATGCATTTTATTCTTTTCTTTTACTTGAAGCAATTAAAGAGAGAACACTGTTGTTAAGTATAACTGATAGAAAAGCAGTATGGTCGGTATTCCTCCTTATGATCTGGCAAGATATGCTATGGTGTCAGATAAAAGTAGGAGTCCACAAGACAAATTTGTTCGATTTTGTTGTATGAGAGGGTTTGATTTATTTATATGGTGAAGTTGTCGTTTTAATGAGGAGTGAGCTGAAAAGCTGGGAAGCACTGGACAGTTGTTTCGACCTGGTTGGGTCTCATCAGCAGTGGTAAGATGTGAAAGGAGTGAATCATTCCATAAACGACTGCTGTTGCACTTTTATTTTCAAGTCGAATAGGACAGGTTAGCCATCACCCGCTCGTAAAATACGCAAAAGTAGGAGGCTGGATATGTATAAGAAAGCCAATAACAACCAACATAGTAACTCACTGGGTTGAGATTAATACATTGGTGCTGATGACGAAACCCACTATGATGTAATTAACAAAAGAAATGCTCAGTATTCTCTCCAAACCTGCTTTGTTCTATGCACCGGGAAGTGCATTTTGAAAAATAAAAATTCCACAATCTATTCCATGTATGGATGCATGTATGTGTAGGTATCCATGTCGATAAGTGGGTAGGTGTACTTTTTAAAAATAAGATATGACATCTACTTACCAGTCTCTGGATGGTGTGTGATCGTGGCTGGAACCAGAAGAGCACAAATGATGATGATGATCGTACGGATACCAGTATTCGTTCGGACTTTGTGTGCAAGAAGACATGCCGTATACGCATGTGGGGCATGAATGCGCGTTGCAACACGGAACTGCGACCCGGGTAGCTGTGTGCGGACACGGATTGGAATTCGTATGCCAGAGTGGTCGTTTTCCGTAGAAATTGGGGACTGGAGCACGCGTGCCTTGATAGAGATGCGGGGTGAGGACGTGTTGAGTGCAATGCAGATTAGTCGGTGGCATGTTGAATGTGTTTGTAGTGCAAACACCGTGATTGCTTTTACACGGGGCAAACAGTTGGGGTACGGGATTCATTGTGTTCTCGCAAGGATTCAAGGCCAGTCCAATCAGTTCCGGTTTTTGTTGCGTTTGTTGGCATTGGTCTGCGCTCACCAACATGGTCGCCTGTGTCTGAACCGGTGTATCGGACGATTGCGTTGTCGGTTGATCTTTTTCACTGGCATTGAAGAAACGTTGACGTTTTGTAGATGGCCCGGTCGCCTGTTCGAGTTCAAAGTGGACAACAAAAGCGTACATTGCATTAATACCACGACAATAATTCAGGTTTTATTTAGCAATCACACTCAATGAGGATGTAGAAAAAGAGGTATCTCAACTTTTTTATTACACACCTAAGTATGGTGAACAGCAAACGGGGCGAACCCCATAGTCACGAGGACATGCTGTTCAGGGGGGGAAACCGACAACCTAAGCCCCGGGACTTGGAGTTGCGAACCCGATAAGTTAGACGCG